TGCACCCCTCCCCCTCCTCTTATACATTTTGTTTAGCACCCCCCCTTCCCCATCCATACCTCAGCCCCCTCCAATTCAGCGACATTCTCAACAGCCTCTGCTACCTGGGGACTCTTCTTCCGCATTGGCTGAGGCAGCAGAGGGGACCCGTTGGGGAGCTGCTGTCAATCACAGCCAGTGAGCCAATGAGGAGGGGGCGGGAGTCCAAGACTCGGCTCTATGTGTCTTATGGATGCAGAGAGCAGCGGCTCGGGGACGAGCATGTAGCGGTGCCTCCAGGGCGAGCAGCTCTTCCTGGGGACAGTGCCTGAGGGGAAGAAGCCAACAGGGACCCAAAGAAGAAGGATGGGGGCTGCTCTGTGCAAAAACCGCTTCACGCTGCAGGTAAGTATAGACGTGTTTGTTGTTTTAGTGTCACTTTAAATAGAGGTGTGGCCCACCACTTCCTGATTCCTTGCCTAGGCACAGGTGACATAGTTATCAGCCACCTGCAGCCTTCTGGGATGTCCATGTCACAAATGGCAGGAGGCCATGGTTGGGTAAGGGATGAAGTATTTGGTGCAATTCAAATATCTGGGATCTGGCATAGAGCCGAGTGTCATATCTGTCCATGTGTAAGATGGCACTATACATCCTCAGGGAGCCACCTATGAAAAGCAGGAAGCAACAGCCGTCCCCCATTATGAGGAAATCCAAGATGGCAGCCTGGAAGCAGAACACCCCCACTGAGAACCTTGGCTACACCAAACACTGGACTCCATGGACTGGGACGGTTTGTGTTTTTATTATCAACAACATACAGAGACACTTAGAAGCAGCTCTTTATTGGTACAATATCTATAAAAAATGAAATGTCAGTTTTGGGAGGGGGAGCTAGTGTAAATTATGGGAGGAGCCATGCACCGCAAGGGCCCTAGAAGAAGTATATCGATGGGATAAACACTGACTTGGCAGTGCAGATTCCCTCTCTGACCTCCATGTTTCCGCTTCCAGTCTATTGGTACTTACAGGAGTTCCACCTGGACTATGGAGGAGAGACCCGGGGGGAGGTCATACCGAGGAGAGACCCGGGGGGAGGTCATACCGAGGAGAGACCCGGGGGGAGGTCATACCGAGGAGAGACCCGGGGGGAGGTCATACCGAGGAGAGACCCGGGGGGAGGTCATACCGAGGAGAGACCCGGGGGGAGGTCATACCGAGGAGAGACCCGGGGGGAGGTCATACCGAGGAGAGACCCGGGGGGAGGTCATACCGAGGAGAGACCCGGGGGGAGGTCATACCGAGGAGAGACCCGGGGGGAGGTCATACCGAGGAGAGACCCGGGGGGAGGTCATACAAAGAACAGGCCGGGGTCGTCATACAAAGAACAGGCCGGGGTCGTCATACAAAGAACAGGCCGGGGTCGTCATACAAAGAACAGGCCGGGGTCTCGGAGCTCGCTGTAGATATGGAGGAGTCTCTCGGTGGCTGTAATGGAAATAATATCCTCATCTACACTCAGACGCTCCTTCAAGGTCTTCAGTTCTTTCAGTAACGGCTGAAAACAGAGATTGGAGAAAAGGGGCATCAAACACTGGAACATGAAGAACATCTCATTTGTCTAAATCATTCCATGCAAAGCAGAAAAATGTAACCCGGATGGACAGACAGTCCTAGAGAAACATCAGCCGGCACTGCTGACCTCTCCTGAAAATGCTGGGCGCCCGGCTGTCAACTGATTGTACAATTCCAGCTAAAGCCGAACTTGTCTTACAAATCCCCCTCCCCCTCCCCCTCCCCCTCCCAACAGCAAAACCCAACCTGTGTAATAAACATGTATATACTTACCTATTGTCAGCCGGCTCCAGTCTAGTCACATGATCCCGTGTAAGCCAGTGGTGGCTGCATGGTGTAGTATATTGTGTGATTATATATATATATATATCATACACAGAAGGAAATGTGTATTTGCCCCCCCCCCCCCCGATGCTGAATATTCGCCCCTCACACAGAAATGATCGGTCTAACAATGGAATGTTCGCCCCTCACACAGAAATGATCGGTCTAACAATGGAATGTTCGCCCCTCACACAGAAATGATCGGTCTAACAATGGAATGTTCGCCCCTCACACAGAAATGATCGGTCTAACAATGGAATGTTCGGTGTAACACTGAGAGATAGAATACAACAACAAATTCAGCAGAAATGCGTCTAACAAATGATGACTGATCTGCATGTTCATGAGGGAAAGAAGGATTGGATCCCCTTCACAAAACATGACTTAGTACTTGGTGGCCAATCCCTTGTTGGCCATCACAGAGGTCAGACATTTCCTGGAGTTGGCCCCCAGGTTCGCACACATCTCAGGAGGGATTTTGGCCCACTCCTCTTGGCAGATTCTCTCCAACTCATTAAGGTTTGGTGGCTGACGTTTGGCAACTCGAACTTTCAGCTCCCTCCACAGATTTTCCATCGGATGAAGGTCTGGAGACTGGCTAGGCCAGTCCGGGACCTTAATGTGCTTCTTCTTGAGCCGCTCCTTTGCTGCCTTGGCCGTGTGTTTTGGGTCATTGTCATCCTGGAACACCCATCCACCACCCATTTTCAATGCCCTGGCTGAGGGAAGAAGGTTCTCACCCAAGATTTGATGGTACATTGCCCCGTCCATCGTCCCTTTGATGCGGTGCAGTTGTCCTGTCCCCTTAGCAGAAAAACACCCCCAAAGCAGAATGTTTCCACCACCATGTTTCACAGTTGGGATGGTGTTCTTGGGGTCATAGGCAGCATTCCTCCTCCTCCTCCAAACACGGCGAGTTGAGTTGATGCCAAAGAGCTGGATTTTGGTCTCCTCTGACCACAACACTTCCCACCAGTCCTCCTCGGCATCATTCAGATGTTCAGTGGCAGACTTCAGACGGGCCTGGATATGGGCTTTCTTGAGCAGAGGGACCGTGCGGGCACTGCAGGATTTCAGTCCTTGTCGGCGTAGTGTGTTACCAATTGTTTTCTTGGTGACTGTGGTCCCAGCTGCCTGGAGATCATTGACAAGATCCTCACGTGTAGTTCTGGGATGATTCCTCACTGTTCTCATGATCATTGACACTCCACGAGGTGAGATCTTGCATGGTGCACCAGACCTAGGGAGACTGACACTTGTTTTGTGTTTCTTCCATTTGTGAATGATTGCACCGACTGTTGTCACCTTCTCACCAAGCTGCTTGGCCATAGTTTGGTAGCCCAGTCCAGCCTTGTGTAGGTCTACCATCTTGTTCCTGACATCCTTGGACAGCTCTTTGGTCTTTCCCATGGTGGAGAGTTTGGAATCTGATGGTTTGATGGCTCCTGTGGACAGGTGTCTGTTATACAGGTAACATAATGAGATTAGCAGCACTCCCTTTAAGAGACTGCTTCTAATCTCAGCTTGTTACCTGTATGAGAGACACCTGGGAGCCAGAAATCCTGCTGAATGATAGGGGATCAAATCCTTCTTTCCCTCATGAACATGCAGATCCGTCATCATTTGTTAGACGCATTTCTGCTGAATTTGTTGTTGTATTCTGTCTCTCAGTGTTACACCGAACATTCCATTGTTAGACCGATCGTTTCTGTGTGAGGGGCGAACATTCCATTGTTAGACCGATCGTTTCTGTGTGAGGGGCGAACATTCCATTGTTAGACCGATCATTTCTGTGTGAGGGGAGAACATTCCATTGTTAGACCGATCATTTCTGTGTGAGGGGCGAACATTCCATTGTTAGACCGATCGTTTCTGTGTGAGGGGTGAACATTCCATTGTTAGACCGATCGTTTTCTGTGTGAGGGGGAACATTCCATTGTTAGACCGATCGTTTCTGTGTGAGGGGGGAACATTCCATTATTAGACCGATCATTTCTGTGTGAGGGGCGAACATTCACCATCGGGGGGGGGGGGGGCAAATACACATCTCCTTCACTGTAGTTACATAGTTAGTCTGGCTGCCAAAAGTCCATCCAGTTCAACCATTAAAAAAAAAAAAAAAAAAAAAGTTATACTCCTCCACCCACAGTGGATCCAGAGGAAGGTAATAATCCCAGCAAAGCACGATCCAATCTGCTCCTGCAGGGGAACAATTCCTTCCTGATCCCCCGAGAGGCAATCGGATTGGTGGATGGGGTCCTGCGTGTGTCCGTATTGTATGACATTTCTATAAGGGGCCGATCTGTTCATAGAAGGTGATTGTGACTTTATTAGAAGAAAAGATGTTTTCTGGTACATTATTGGGTAACAATCACCTCGATATTCGGGAAAAGTGACTTACCTCCTGAGCGCTAAACTGCTGCTGGACCTTCCCCAAATCCAGGTCTGGGGGGTGACCGCCATTTTGGTTTTGCTGAAGTAAGGTCTGGAGAATGAATTCAGAAGTCACATGAAACTCTTATCATGGTTTGTGCCACTAACCATCACACGCCCACTACACGCCTACTACACGCAGGGCTCCTTTACAGTAGTTGAGGGGTGGTAAAAACCAAATGGTTGAGACATGTTTATCGCCTCTCGACCATCCCCATCAGCTAGAAAGACAGCGGCCAGGGGTGTACACAGGCTGCTGCCGCAATGATTTGCTTCGTGGCTATGGCAGGAATTACACCCCCCGCGTCTTTCAGCAGATGCTACCACCCACCAAATGCAGCCCAATCAGGTGAATGGGGCCACACTGCAACCGCATCCATTGCCTGGTAGTACAGCTTTTAGGGGGTTCAAACCGAAGGAGAGACACCTCCACTACATGTCAATGGCTGAACCCCTCAAAGTATGTCCCCAATATCAGGAATTCATCTGTATTCATACCTGGAGACGACGGATCACTGCCAGGTGTAGTGCAGCCACAACGTGGACCTGGGAGCTGAGGATCTGTATTTCAATGGCCGGGACACTTCCTGCTGCAGCCAGACCTGCCACTGCTACCTGTAGGAAGAGAAATCACCGAAAAAATCACCATCTGCACATTAATACCCCATTCCCGATTAAATCCCCCCTCCAGCTTCCCCTTCAGTCTGGCACAGGGCGTACCGGCTCCCCCCTTCAGTCTTGCACAGGTGTACCGGCTCCTCCCCTTCAGTCTTGCCCAGGCGTACCGGCTCCTCCCCTCCAGTCTTGCCCAGGCGTACCGGCTCCTCCCCTCCAGTCTTGCCCAGGCGTACCGGCTCCTCCCCTCCAGTCTTGCCCAGGCGTACCGGCTCCTCCCCTCCAGTCTTGCCCAGGCGTACCGGCTCCTCCCCTCCAGTCTTGCCCAGGCGTACCGGCTCCTCCCCTCCAGTCTTGCCCAGGCGTACCGGCTCCTCCCCTCCAGTCTTGCACAGGCGTACCGGCTCCTCCCCTCCAGTCTTGCACAGGCGTACCGGCTCCTCCCCTGGACTGGAATGACTTCCTCTGATGTCACTGCACACTGGGAGCTTCTCACAATGTGCATTAGAAGCTGCAGCCAGTCAGATAGAACTCCGTCTCACTTCCTGTCTGAAGGACAGCCAGCATCATCTAGCTCTTTCCTCCCCAGCCTGGCTGTCCCTAGCCCCGGGATGTAAAACACCGGGTCCCAGCTGGCACTCGACGATCGTCAGGTAAAGCGGACAGGGGAGGGGTCTGTATGTAAACAACACAGCTCTCTCTGCTGTCAGCAAGGACATGCTGCTTTGTATCTCTGCACAGCATGTCTCCCTAGTAACAGCACACAGTTAACCCTTTGATCGCCCCTCACATTACCCCGTTCCTGCCCAGTGCCATTAGTACAGTGTCAGTGATTTTTATTAGCACTGATTGGTGTCACTGGGGATGTCAGCACTGACCTCTTGTATCTGCAAACCGAACTCCTTCCCATCTGGGGTGACACCTTGCACCTCCACCAGGTTCTGCTCCTTCACCAGGTCCATGGACAGCAGCCAGTGCAGTACAGCCGGACACAGGGGGCTCCCTGGAAGAAAAAATAAAAAATGCAAAATGGCAATCGGCAGATCTTCGTCTTCCTGCAATGCGGTATTTGTCCTTTGTAAATGGAAGATATCGGGTGGCAGCGGTGATCCCTGTAGCAGCAATGACACCACCACACTGCATGTGACTCCGGCACATGCAGACCTACGTTGGGCTGAGCTGGATCCATGACATAACTTCTATACCTGCAGTTCAGCTTTTACCTCCCGCTGCCCACGTAACACACATGTGCGTCAAGAAAAAGGGGCGGGCTTTAAAGCTCACATGCCACGCCTGCGCATCCGTGGGCAGCAGAGCTTTCTGTGCTGGGAGCGCAGGGACCGAGCTGGCAAAGACAGATCTCAGTCTTTACTAATGATTAGGAGCCGGCGGGACTGGCTCCTGTTCATTTGACCCCCTATGGTAGCCAATCACAGCAGTCAAACGATCAGTCAGTCCTGCCTGCCTCCCCCCCTACATAGACTTCAATGAGAAGTCACGCCCCATAGGCTCCCGTGGGAAGTCGCGCCCCATAGGCTCCCGTGGTGAGTCGCGCCCCATAGGCTTCCGTTGGAAGTCACCTCCCATAGGAAGTTGCCTCCCATAGGCTTGCATGGAAAGTCGCCCCCCAAAGGTTTGCATGGGAAGTCGGGCCCCCCGTAGGCTTCCATGGGAAGTCGGGCCCCCCGTAGGCTTCCATGGGAAGTCGGGCCCCCCCGTAGGCTTCCATGGGAAGTCGGGCCCCCCCGTAGGCTTCCATGGGAAGTCGGGCCCCCCCGTAGGCTTCCATGGGAAGTCGGGCCCCCCCGTAGGCTTCCATGGGAAGTCGGGCCCCCCCGTAGGCTTCCATGGGAAGTCGGGCCCCCCCGTAGGCTTCCATGGGAAGTCGGGCCCCCCCGTAGGCTTCCATGGGAAGTCGGGCCCCCCCGTAGGCTTCCATGGGAAGTCGGGCCCCCCCGTAGGCTTCCATGGGAAGTCGGGCCCCCCGTAGGCTTCCATGGGAAGTCGGGCCCCCCGTAGGCTTCCATGGGAAGTCGGGCCCCCCGTAGGCTTCCATGGGAAGTCGGGCCCCCGTAGGCTTCCATGAGAAAAGTCCTGTCAATAGCAGTCCTATGTGAACACGGATCTCCGCATGCCACTCTATCACTTGGAGTCTGGAACGCAGCGCCACAAACGCACACACCACCCTTTTCATAAAGGCCCTCAAAACACAACGCATGTGGATCGCATCTGTAAGAACCACCTCAATAGGAACATAATATCCAGCCTGTCATGGGAATCTGTGAGTTTCAAAACGAATCCAGACACGCATGTGTGTGGACCAGGGAGGTGCCATTCACACCCGGACATATGGGGATCACGGCAGAATCACGGCGATAGCAAAACACAAGTTCAGGCGCCATTATTTTCAGTGGCGCCTAAAAGGTGGTGCAGTTTTGCCATGATTGTCATGTGGCAAATCGCATCGTATGAAGTCCCGGACGCGGACAACAAGTCCTGCAGTACTCGCCTGACCAGAGGATCCAACCTTATCCCGCTATTATCTGCTGATCAGGTGCCGCAGCTTGGGACCCAGGCCACCATCTTGGTCCTCCTCAGTCATCGGAAGCTGGATGCCTCTTATGGCATTAACTGAGCGTCCCAATCATGTTATCTTAGTGATTGGCTGTCACAACGGTCACATGATCAGGAGACCATCCCGCAGGCCACCATAAACAGATTCGGAGCTGCGTAGTCACTGTGCTGGAGGAAGGAGATTGAGCGCAGAACAGCGTACATATACACTATATTGCCAAAAGTATTGTCCCCGTCCTCCAATCATGTGATTCAGGTGTCCCAATCTCCTCCATATCATGTGATTCAGGTGTTCAATCCCCTCCAATCACGTGATTCAGGTGTTCCAATCCCCGCCATATCATGTGATTCAGGTGTCCCAATCCCCTCCATATCATGTGATTCAGGTGTTCCAATCCCCTCCCAATCATGTGATTCAGGTGTCCCAATCTCCTCCATATCATGTGATTCAGGTGTTCAATCCCCTCCAATCATGTGATTCAGGTGTTCCAATCCCCTCCATATCATGTGATTCAGGTGTTCCAATCCCCTCCCAATCATGTGATTCAGGTGTCCCAATCCCCTCCATATCATGTGATTCAGGTGTCCCAATCTCCTCCAATCATGTGATTCAGGTGTTGTAATCCCCGCCATATCATGTGATTCAGGTGTTGTAATCCCCGCCATATCATGTGATTCAGGTGTCCCAATCCCCGCCATATCATGTGATTCAGGTGTCCCAATCCCCGCCATATCATGTGATTCAGGTGTCCCAATCCCCTCCATATCATGTGATTCAGGTGTCCCAATCCCCTCCATATCATGTGATTCAGGTGTTCCAATCCCCTCCATATCATGTGATTCAGGTGTTCCAATCCCCTCCATGTCATGTGATTCAGGCGTTCCAATCCCCTCCATGTCATGTGATTCAGGCGTTCCAATCCCCTCCCAGTCATGTGATTCAGGCGTTCCAATCCCCTCCCAGTCATGTGATTCAGGCGTTCCAATCCCCTCCCAGTCATGTGATTCAGGCGTTCCAATCCCCTCCCAGTCATGTGATTCAGGCGTTCCAATCCCCTCCCAGTCATGTGATTCAGGCGTTCCAATCCCCTCCCAATCATGTGATTCAGGCGTTCCAATCCCCTCCCAATCATGTGATTCAGGCGTTCCAATCCCCTCCCAATCATGTGATTCAGGCGTTCCAATCCCCTCCCAATCATGTGATTCAGGCGTTCCAATCCCCTCCCAATCATGTGATTCAGGCGATCCAATCCCCTCCATATCATGTGATTCAGGTGTTCCAATCCCCTCCATATCATGTGATTCAGGTGTTCCAATCCCCTCCATGGACACAGGTGTATACAATCAAGCCCCTAGGCATGCAGACGGCTTCTACAAACATTGGGGAAAGAATGGGTCGCTCTCAGGAGCTCAGTGACTCCAAGCGTGGTCCCGTGATAGGTGGCCACCTGGGCAATGAGTCCATCCGTGACATTTCCTGGCTACTAAATATTCCACGCTCAACTGTTAGTGGGATTATAACAAAGTGGAAGCAACTGGGAACAACAGCCACTCAGCCACCAAGTGGTAGGCCACGTCACATGACAGGGCGGGGTCAGCGCATGCTGAAGCGCACAGTGCGCAGAAGTCGCCAACTGTCTGCAGAGTCAATAGCTAAAGACCTCCAAACTTGGTGTGGCCTTCAGATGAGCCCAACAACAGTGCGTAGAGAGCTTCATGGAATGGGTTTCCATGGCCGAGCAGCTGCATCCAAGCCTTCCATCACCAAGTGCAATGCAAAGCGTCGGATGCCGTGGTGTAAAGCACGCCGCCACTGGACTCTAGAGCATGGAGATGTGTTCTCTGGAGGGACCAATCACACTTCTCTGTCTGGCAATCTGATGGACATGTCTGGGTTTGGCGGTGGCCAGGAGAACAGTACTTGCCTGACTGCATTGTGTAAAGTTTGGTGGAGGCGGGGTTATGGTGTGGGGTTGTTTTTCAGGGGTTGGGCTTGGCCCCCTAGTTCCAGTGAAGGGAACTCTTAAGGCAACATTTTGGACAATTTCATGCCCCCAACTTTGTGGGAGGAGTTTGGGGATGGCCCCTTCCTGCTCCAACATGACTGCCCCCCCAGTGCACAAAGCAAGGTCCATAAAGACATGGAGGAGCCAGTTTGGGGTGGAGGAACTTGACTGTCCTGCACAGAGTCCTGACCTCAACCCCATAGAACACCTTTGGGATGAATTAGAGCGGAGACTGCGAGCCAGGCCTCCTCCCCCGACATCAGTGCCTGACCTGACAAATGTGCTTCTGGAAGAATGGTCCAACCTTCCCATAGACACCCTCCTAAACCTTGTGGGGGGCCTTCCCAGAAGAGTTGAAGCTGTTATAGCTGCAAAGGGCGGGGCCAACGCAATATTGAACCCTACGAACTGAGACTGGGGGGCCATTAAAGGTCATGTGTGTGGAAAGGGCGGGGCCAACTCAATATTGAACCCTACGGACTAAGACTGGGGGGCCATTAAAGGTCATGTGCGTGGAAAGGGCGGGGCCAACTCAATATTGAACCCTACGGACTAAGACTGGGGGGCCATTAAAGGTCATGTGCGTGGAAAGGGCGGGGCCAACTCAATATTGAACCCTACGGACTAAGACTGGGGGGCCATTAAAGGTCATGTGTGTGGAAAGGGCGGGGCCAACTCAATATTGAACCCTACGGACTAAGACTGGGGGGCCATTAAAGGTCATGTGCGTGGAAAGGGCGGGGCCAACTCAATATTGAACCCTACGGACTAAGACTGGGGGGCCATTAAAGGTCATGTGTGTGGAAAGGGCGGGGCCAACTCAATATTGAACCCTACGGACTAAGACTGGGGGGCCATTAAAGGTCATGTGTGTGGAAAGGGCGGGGCCAACTCAATATTGAACCCTACGGACTAAGACTGGGAGGCCATTAAAGGTCATGTGTGTGGGAAGGCAGGCGGACCAATACTTGGGGCAATATAGTGTATGGGGGGGGGGGGGGGGGGGGGGGGGGGGGGGGGGGGGGGGGGGGGACAATACTTGGGGCAATATAGGGTATTTTTGTGGCATTAAAGCTATACTTCCCCATAAGGGGTTAATTTTAATGAAAATAAAACCCATTTGTCCCTGTCTGCTCACCAGATGTTCCATTCTGCAAGGCGTGGGCCAATAAGGAGGCGGATACATGAAGTCGTGTTCTTAGCGGTGCTCCTTGGTCATCAATGGCTGCACGCCGCGTCTCATCTGACACCTCCATAAAGACTCGGGCCACATCCTCCGGCATCACATGAAGAGACTCAAGATGGCGGCTTGTTTGGGGACCAGTGCGCAGACACTGCAGTAAGTCCACGCTGTGCTCCTGTAGAGGTATACACACCCCATGCCGGGCCGGGGAAGGAGCTGCAGGCAGACCGGAGTCCCTGAAAAGTCCCTCTAAGTCATAAAACAAAGTGAAGGCCATTTTGATGGGGAAATCCAGACAGCGGTAGGTGTGAGCAGGCAGAGGGAAGGTCATCCCCGTCCTCTCTCCGGGTTTTAGCGATGGAAGAGGAAAGGAATAGGAGGTGTTGGAGGAGATCAGGACACACACAGTCCATCCTTCCTCCAGGACACAGTCAGTCCCGTTCTCCAGGGTGCAGGACACGGTGATACAGTCCGTCTGCAGCATCCGGGTCCACGACGTCCTCACGTCACACTGCAAGGGACCGCTCGTCCAATCACCGGACAGGAGCTGGCGGCTGAGTGACATCGCCTGGTTCAGCTTCTGTAACGACCTTCTCTTCTCACCGACGGCCGACTTCAGGCGAGATACTCTGCAGAGACACAACACAGCCTTACAGAAAAAGGAGGAGCGAGATACTCTGCAGAGACACAATGCAACCTTACAGAAAGGGGAGGAGCGAGATACTCTGCAGAGACACAACGCAGCCTTACAGAAAGTGGAGGAGCGAGATACTCTGCAGACACAACACAGCCTTACAGAAAGGGGAGGAGCGAGATACTCTGCAGAGACACAACACAGCCTTACAGAAAGGGGAGGAGCGAGATACTCTGCAGAGACACAACCTTACAGAAAGGGGAGGAGCGAGATACTCTGCAGAGACACAACGCAGCCTTACAGAAAGGGGAGGAGCGAGATACTCTGCAGAGACAACGCAGCCTTACAGAAAGGGGAGGAGCGAGATACTCTGCAGAGACACAATGCAGCCTTACAGAAAGGGGAGGAGCGAGATACTCTGCAGAGACACAACCTTACAGAAAGGGGAGGAGCTACTGCAAGAGTCTATTGGCAACCAATCTGATTGGTCAAGAGGTCCAAATGGGCATTTCCAATATTTTTCAGTTTTCGTGAAAATGTTTCCTGGTGATCCCGCCATGTAGGCCGTTGCCCAGCCACGTCCTCTTATAGGGGCGCTCACCTTTTTGTCAATAGTTCAGAATTTAAATCTTTTTATTTTGAACGGCATCATGAATATTTTCCTCCTGCAGCTGCTGAATGATAGTGGGAGGGAGAGGAGGAGAAGCCGGCTTTCAGCAGCTGCAGGAGGAAAATGGAGAGGATCGGTTCCTGTATATGCCGACCTCGTCGCCCCTCCAGTCCATATGTAAAGTGACAGGGAAGCCACATATGCAGGAACCGATCCTCTCCATTTTCCTCCTGCAGCCGCTGAAAGCCGGCTTCTCCTCCTCTCCCTCCCACCAGCATTCAGTGGCTGCAGGAGGAAAATGGAGAGGATTGGTTCCTGTATATGCCGACCCCGTTGCCCCTCCTGTCCATATGTAAAGTGACAGGGAGGCCGCATAGGCCCCCCTGGAGCATGGGGCGGGGTCGATATTGCGACCAATGACATTACACCAGTGGCTGGGGTGTGTGGTAAAAATACGTCTCAACTATGGGGTTTTACTGACCCCCCCCACCTCAAACCGCACATGTAAATGAGCCTTTACTATCCTGAGCCGGCTGCTTTCACACTGATGCGGTTTATCGGCACCGCGGGTGCAGTGCAGTGCGTCTGTGGCTTTGCTGCGGGTTGGCTGCGCCTTGCCTTAGACTTCTATTATATCCTGCAGGTGTGGGGCCTTTTCAGAGAGCAAACCAAAACTCCTGCAATCAGGTGCGCAGCCCCCGCAGGATATAACAGAAGTCTATGGCTCGCTGCAGCTAACCCGCAGGAAAGCCGGAGGTGCGCTGCGAGGATCAGTGTGAAAGCAGCCTGATGGTTGTTATCCCCCTTATAGGGGCTCATATTCGCTGCCAAGTCCGTGTGTCGCAGGGACCGGCCAGCACCGGCTTCAATACACAATCCGGGGGGTGCGGAGTAATTGGGTCTCACGCCATCTTGTTCTCCGGGGTGTCTGCGTTCAGAAAATAGATCGTTTCGGGGGTTTTGTTTAATCTTCAGGCCTAAAATTATTTTTTTTAAATGTGTGCGAAAAATGGAAAAAAAACGGCTCTGGCTGCGAAAGGGTTCAAGTGGAACTAAACCTTCAGATTTCACAATTTCCCAAAACAGTTACACTGAAGGCGTGGTGTGAATGGGAGCGGTCACAGTTGCTCGTGTTCTCAGCCATCAAATGGCTGCTGTCATAGCTGACCACATGTGCAGCACTATGGAAACGGCAAACGGGGGCCAAGATGGCAAACGGGGGCCAAGATGGCAAACGGGGGCCAAGATGGCAAACGGGGGCCAAGATGGCAAACGGGGGCCAAGATGGCAGCTTCCTTGGCTGTGAAGAATAGGAGGGTTTAGTTCCATTTAGAGTAACGGCGGGCAAACAGAAGTCGATCTTATAAACGTTTCCTGGCGATCGTTGTCCTGATGGAAGGTCACCTGTGAGTCCCAATAAACAAAGTGCTCACCTGTCTGACACGGAGCCAATCCCGGACAGCAGCTCCCTAATCCGGAGTCCAGTGTTGTCACTCTCCAGTCCAGGCCTCTGACCGCAGCTTCCCTTCTGATTTAACCCGCGCAGCATGAGGCGCCCTCTGCTGGATAGGAGGACCAGCTCTGTGCCTGTAAAGAGAAAGATATAAAAGTTACAACAACTTCTGAAGGGCGACACAATTATCAAGTCGCAGCTCTGCAGTCGCAGTTGCCAGAAGTGTGGCTGCAAAAGAAGGGAGTAGTTATCTCTCACTGTTGGCCGACAGCTCTACTGAAGAGGAATCGCTCCCCAGCGCAGCGTGCCTTTTTGTCAGGACTAGCTCCGCCCAAACGTAAGAAGC